TGACTCTCGATGGTTATCTACCCTCTTGCCACCAACAGGCGCACCCCTGCAACCGACCCCCTGGAATCGAGCACGTGCCACCGTAGCCGAGGAAAAAGGAACATGTGACGGAATATACACGATAGCTGCTAGCCGCCTTCGATGGATCTGCTTCTTCTACTTTCTGCTACGTATGTATCTACCTACCTGCCTCGGTACCTCACCGTCGTCCGGCCCATGTCGTTCGTCAAAAGAACGCGTTTTATAATGGACGACGTTCGAATAGCTTCGCCTTCTGCAACTGTTACCTTTGACCGTTCGTGATCGTCGCATATGCTCCTATTATTTTTTTCTAATTACTCCCTATTTCCACCTGATACTCGATTTCGATGAGATCGTCGAAGCCACGCGATTGAAATAACGTTAACGAAATGCGTACGAGAGACGAGATGCTTAAAAGAAAAAAAAAAATAGAAAATAAAGAAAGAAAAAATTTCCACCGTTATTTTTCGAAAAAATTCGAAAAAGAGATATTATAATTTAACGTTTCGTTTAATGCGCCCCACTAGACTTATAAAATGTTACAACGGTATTTCTCGAGCTAGTCCGAAGCAGCCTGTAACGCGTTAAATAGAGAAAAAGGAACTTGGCAGATACGTCGATGGGAATTAATTCGCTCGGCAAAGCTCGCGGAATGACTTAGGTCCATCCGCGTTCATCGTTCGTTGTTTTCGTATCGTCGAAGGAGACTTCTCCAGGAAGATATTCTCTCCTAGCCGACTTAACTAGCATTGACGCGAAGAGACAGGAAGGAGAGAAAGAGTGGAACGGCTAAGAGAGAACGGCAAAGGCCGGGACGATATTGCCTGAGAGGGTAATTGAGAATGACGTACGTCCTCGTACCGTACCAACGGCGGCGATCTTTGAGGTTTCGCTCGCGACGCCGAGGGTGGACGAGTTAGAAACGTCGTGGGGCGAGATTATACGCACGCCCGTTATACGAGCCTCGAAAAAGACCAAGAAGGAAAGAGGGAGGAACGAGAAAGAGATGGGTGGTTGATTCACGCGGAATACGCATTATCTCGGAATTATTGAATTTACTCGCAAACGGAACAGTTTGTTACGTTCGTAACGGGCGATAAAAATCGTGAAAATTAAATCGATACCGCGTAAGGTGTCAAGATCGTCCTTGATTCTCTTCTTCCGTGTCTTCTTCGTTAAGAAAGTTACTCGGCTCGGTTTGCCAAGTTTAGGCCCGAGCGCGAGCTATCCGAGGTTAACGTATTCGTAACTTCGTTCTTCGGCCCGGAGCAAAACTATTTCTCCGTAGATGGGCGAGCATAGAAAATAATTCAGTTAGTTGCTCGAGCGTTTCTTCGAGCGTCGAGGGATGTTGCGGAGGAGGATGTGAAAGAGGAAGAAGAAGAAGGAGGAGGAGGAGGAGGAGGAAATGAAGAAGAAGAGGTGAAGGCGTAAAAAGTGGTCGACCGTAGAGCGGGAGCGTGTCCGAAGTAAAGCACCGTAATGCGGAGGAGAGAATAAGAAGAGGACGGAGAAGTTGCCGCCGGTCTCTCGAAGATCCGCATCGTATAAAGGTAGAAGAAGAGAACCGAGCATAGCGTGCGGAGTAAATGTTCCAATCGTCGTCGTGCCCTGTCCACAAATTATTCCTCGTGTTCTGCACGATGCCCAGCACGAGCTGCCCGTAAGCCACACACAAGCGCGCGCGCGCGCGCGAACGCTTCGAGGGCGCTAGCCAACGAAATAGAAGTACGAAAGAGAGTCTTCCGCTCGTTCCAAGAACCACCGACCGAGCTATCTCGTCTCGAGTCTCCTAGCACCGAGTCCAAGTCTCTTCTTCTTGTCTCGTATGCCACGATCGACCTAGCCAAGTTGGCTACACCATCGAGTAGTACCTACATGAGACCCTGTACTTGCCTGTACCCTTGAGGGCTCGAAGAATTGGAAGAGGAATCGAACAGCAGGGACGAGAAGAGCCAAGGTGCTCTCGTTTGTTCCTCGTTTCGAGTCGTGTCGTCTCCTTCGCTATCCTCGTACCTCTCCTTTGCTTCACCTCGCCACACACTTTACTATGTCTATATGTCTGTGAGAAAGATACAGAGACCATGCGAGCGGACCACTGGATCCCTCTATCTCTCATCTCCCGTCCACCTGTATTCCCCATACTGTCAGCACGTGGAATTCCGTGGAAATTAACGATTGACCCCCGCTAGAGAAAGAGAGAGGCAGAGAGAAAGAGAGAGAGAGAGAAACTTTTCTTATCAGACTCGTTCGATCGTACCGTGTATACTCGCGAACTCGGAGTCTTCTCTCTCTCTCTCTCTCTCTCTATCTATCTATCTAACTCTCCTTCTCTCTTCCTCTGCATGCGCGGATCGCGATCGCAGATATAAGCGCAGTGCTTGAGCTTGTTCACGGGATTAGACTCCGTTTGAACGAGTATATTCTAAGCTGACGTGCTTCGAACGAACGGTTTGTTAAACTCCATTCTTTTTCCTCTCTTTCAGCTTGGAGAGAGCAACCATGCGTGCTGTCAGAAAAAAGATATGCGATTGAATCGATCATTCAATTAACTTTGATACGCACTATACATGCGTTCACGATGTTGGAGGAGAACGAGAAAATCCATTTTAATGCGCGCAAATCGTTTCTCTTTTCTTCCACGTAATATACATATTTTTTTTTGTTTCTTCTTGTTTTTTTTTTTTTTTGTTTTTTTTTTTTTTTGTTTTTTTACTTTTACGGTTCCGCTGGGAAATAGTATTCACGGTAATTCATTGCTTCGGGTGTTGAAGCAGCTGAGTCTGAAGGAAGAGCACGAGGTTTTACCTACGATATATACCTAGGGAATAGCGAGCAAAGCGAGGAAAGAAGCTCGATGAGAATCTATGCGAGGAACAGCACCCGACGGCTACTAGATTCTCTCCATTCTTCAGCGATCTATCCTATCACGATTCTGACGTTTCCATTAAATTTTCAGTATTAACGCGGTCCGACTAGCGGGGCTTCCGCGTTGCAGCTCCTACCATAAACCATAGGAATGTATCGAGTTAATCGATTTATCGTTTCGCCGGAGTAAGTTTATTTGTTTAACCAACGATTCCAATTTTTTTTTCTTTCTGTTTTTTTTTTTTTTTTTCGAAGAAATCGCATTGTTGATAGAATACCCTACAGTATAAGGCGTCTAAAATGTAAGAAAATACGTATGAAATTTGTACGTTTTTAAGGGAAAATTGAAACGAGATGTTGTTAAGAGACAAACATCTTCAAGACGAAATACGACGAATGCACGACGGCATTCTCTCGTGATACCTGACGCATCTCCTTCTGAAATGTAACAGGTCTCGCGAACGTCATGTTTTCGTAGTTTTATCAACGAGGCATATCTTGAGAAAGAGATACCTCGAAGGGTAAAGATCCAAACCCCCCGGGGTGGAAAATACTCGCACGTATGAGCTGGACGACGAGGCGGAATCTCAAATGAAATTATTTCGGCGAGTCTGTCGGTTGGGTCGAATGTCAATGACACGCTTTCCTTACTACGTTTTCTTCGTCACCTCACATAAGTATACTTTCAATCGATAATTATTTCTTGAATGATTTAAAAAAAAAACAAAAAAAAAAGTATAAAGTTTTGCGACTCATGAAAATACACCTGTTTAGCGTAACGTAAATTCGTACTTAGCATGTCCCAAAACCTTTTTGACCGCGCCCATATCGTGCGACAGTCCGTCGTCGAGTCCCCTTCGAGACTTTGTCCAGATATCATCGCGAATGTTAAACAGAACGAGAAGAAGAAAAAAAAAAGAAAGTAAGAATAAGAAGGACAACTCTTCCTGGCGTCGTCGTTACATCTTCCGCGTCTCGACTTTCGTTCGTTTGAATCTTCGTATCCCCGTTGTCCTTGAGAGGATAACGAGTCAAATTCGATTTATGACGCATGAAATTCTCAATCGCATCGATCGTAAATTAAATAGATTACGTTGGTAGAGACAAAAGGATTCTACGATCGAAGCGCGTTTCGTCATCGTTCGAAGAATGACTTCGTCGTTTTCCAATCCTTTCCCTGTGTCCTTGTTCGATGATCGAGGAAGGATCGCACACCTAGAATCGCTGATTTAAATTTACAAAGAGCATCGTATCGTCGCACGTTTCCGACCTTGCATCGCACGCCGCGAGTCGTAAACTCGGCTCGAACCGGGACGTTTCTATGTTACTTTACGACGTGCTTCAACTAGGCGATCGCATTTTATCGTTCCATATTCTGAGTTTCATATCACGATGCGAGCCAGAGCGAGAGCGAGAGCTCGACTTTAAGTTTAGTGCGATACTTCGAGGTGGCCCGAGCATCGTCAAAAATTCTCTATCGTTATATCGAAGTTATGTAAGGCGTGAATTGTATTTCTCTCGCGCCTTCTCTGCTTTTCCAAAACGACTTCTTCGTTGGCGAACGATCATCGAAGATCAACTGAAAGTTCTCGAATGCGAGTACATCGCGAGAGATTCGATCGTATTAAAAATGAAGAAACGTACCAACGTTTATTTAAAATCTTGTCTCGTTTCTTCTTCTCGTTTTGTATCAAGGGAACAAAGTACCTTAAACGAAGAGATTTAGGGAAGTTGCTCGGGTTCACTACCACCTGCGCGCTTATTTTTTTTCTTCTTTTTTTTTTTCTCTCTTTTTTTTCCTTTCATTTCAACGTGGGTGGACGTTGGAAAAGAAACACAGCGCCTCTCTTTGTTACGAAGCGAAACGTAGGCGTCTCTATAGGTCACGACGGGTTCAACACGACTCGCAATCGCGTCGCGGACCGTGTCCAAATAACGCCGACGTACGACACCGTCAGGTTATAATATATTCCTTGGATGAAATCATTTCTACCGCTGATCCGAATGGAGCCAAGTCAATGGCCAAATTAGGCTCGAGATCAAAATATTCACGATTTAATCTGGAATAATAAAAATGTCAATGTTCGAACGTTTAAGAGTTTGCACGAATAGAGATTCTACATATGTAGGTATACATAAAAGAAAAATATAATGACGATCCAATTAAATGGGATATTTAATAAAAACTAATAAATCCCACTTTAAGAGGTACTTTCTTAAATTCACGCTCTCGATGTTACGAGTGTAAATTTTCAAGTAAATCGGACGGGCGTGGTAGCGATTGACCGTGACCATCAAAGTCGTGAACCTTCGGAAGGGTTCTTCGCGTAGCTCTCCGCACCTTTCCGGTGTCGTTACGCGCGCGGAAAGCCGGCGAAGGAAGTTTTTAAGGAGACGAAGCGAGGAGAAACTCGGTAGGTGCTGAGCACATAGCCGAGTATGTGGGCAAGTCAGGAAACGAGAGCACTCGAGGATATCAGAGAGGATACCGCGTAGCCCCCTTTTATTAATAGGGACAATCGAGCGTCTGTCACGGCACAATGGCCAAGACTACGCCCAGTATTAACTCCATATACCACGTGCTCGTGGTATATACATGAATCAAGGCGATAAGCGAGTCGAACGACCCTCGTCGGTAGGGGATATTATATTTATCAATTTTACACATTTTTTCTTTTTTTTTTCTTTTCTTATACAAACGTACAATTTCGAGAAAAGCGTAGGTAAATATAATCTAATGGAATAGATCAGCGCTCTCTCTCTCTCTCTCTCTCTCTCTCTCTCTCTCCCTTTCGTGCAATATACTTTCGTGACGTCTCTATTCCAACGTTCGCTCTTATTCTCCATACGATACGATCAAAGTCGTTGTCCCCTTTTCATTCTAATCTTCGTGGCGCAAATCGATCTGACGAGTACTCGGGCGAAGACACACGTGCCTCGTACTACCACTGTTCCGCGAAAAAGATAGATAGAGTAAGGAAGAGAAAGAGAAAACTACGGAGACCGTAAACGAGCTAACTAACTTCTCGATCCTCCGTGCTCTCGTGGTTCTCGTGGCACGGGCCCGTGACATCGGCACTCCTACGAAGGAAATCCGTCCTCCTCCTCTTCCTTCTCCTCTTCTTCTTCTTCGTCTTCTTTGCCTATACCAGGTTCTTACATATTCAGCAAGCTTCTTCCAAGGAACCCGATAACTGGCCGCGAGGTCACGCGTCGAAGCACCCGACCGATCGGCCTCGCCGATCCGCTCGACGACTTCTCGTGAGTTCGACCGATCGTTCGCGAAATCGTTCTTGCACGTGTTCTCTCCTCGTATACACGAAGGAACTTTACTTACTCAGCGGTACCAATTCCCTTGACTTCTCTTAACCGTTTCTACGACGTATGTATAGAGGACACATAGAACCCAACCGAGTATGTATAAAGATTCAGAGGGAATAGAATTAGATAGAGTGTTAACTCTTGCGTCTTGACTCTACGAGCATTACCGCTAGACTGACTCGTACGTGACCTTCTTCGAGGTGTCACGCTAAACGATGTGTCTCGACACGATCGTACGGTGAACTTTGTTTGTTTTCTAACGTAATGATACTACACGGTACACGGGAAAGAGATTATTGTTTACGAAAGAATCTACTATTTATTAGCCGTGTAAGAGCCTGGTAAATACTTACGTATCACATCATCGTGAGGCAAAAAAGGAAAACAGAAAAGTTTCGCGAGTGAATTTCGTGCAAGACGAGTATGTAAAGCACGAAGGAGAGAAAGGACAGCGAGCGAGAGAGAGAGAGAGAGAGAGTGAATGAGAGAGTTCCTCTTAATGCTCTCTTTATCTGCCATTGAAAAAAAATCTTTTTACGATGCTGTCAGAACGACATCGTATTTCCGTCGTTCCTTCGTCGTCGGTTCGACGCTTTTTGGCAGAAGCCGTAGGCCGCACGTCGATACTTAACGTTTTTATCGAAGTGACACGCCTATAAAGATCTCCATCGGAGTTCGAAGGAAGGAGATATAAGGGTAAGAAGAGAGACAAGGAAGAGAAGGAAGAGGAGGACGGAGAGAGAGAGAGAGAGAGAGAGAGAGAGAGTCGATCGAGTTTCGTGCAACGAGAGCGCATGGCTCATGTCGCGGTATCTTTGTCGGCGGGACCGATCCTCCATCATCGCTTTGCCGATACGATGAGTGTGAGTGAGAGAGAAAGAGAGTGAGAAAGAGAAAGAAGGACGGACGACGAGCGAGTCCTTAAGATACACTCACGGCGAAGACGAACCTGCTTGGGCCTTGCCAAGCCGATGGTGCTCATATATTAATTAGTACGACGAGTTCGAGTTATTATTGGCTCGAAATTAATAGACCCTTCCGCGGATAAATAACTCAAGACCCCCTGCCTCTCTCCTGAAGTAGCCAGCCCTTCCACTTGGCGCGACACGCGGGAGGAGGAAAGGTGGAGATGAAGCGAGGAGCAAAAGAAAAAAAGGAGAGAAGATAGCGGGACGTGTTTATTGACGCGGCCTCGACGAGTTACCCCTTTGTCGAACAGGTACGAGCAATTAGTTTCGTGCGTGGATTTATATTTTCTCTCTGATTAACCGTATGCTCTTTTGAATCGACTTTTCTTGGCGTTGCTAATAATCGCGTTACCAGGCGATCGTTGATTTCCTTTCTTCTTCTTCTTCTTCTTCTTCTTCTTCCTCCTCCTAAAGGAGAAAAAAAAAAGAAAATAATTTGTGAAAAATATTAAAGCGTGCACCTGCCAGTAAGAGCTACGGTAGACATACCACGATAAAGGGTAGATACGAGCAAGGAAAGGTAAAAGCCACGAAGAAGTTCGAGGGGTCACGAGGTGGAGGCATAAGTTACGGACGGAGGCCATGCGAGGGCAAGCGAATCGTTCTCAAGAGAACAAGTCGATACAGTCGAGATTCGGAGGATCCTCAACCGAATTTCTCCACCGGAAGATGTTCCAAAGTATATCGAAGGGAGAAAGAGTCGGTAGCAGAAAAGAAAAAGACGGCAAGGAACGGTTCGAGGAAGGCAGGTTGCTGCGGGTTCTTCCTCTCTCTCTCTCTCTCTTTAGCTGCAGCTTTCAGGGTGGTCTCGGTGCCTCAGAACGGCGGGACAAACGGCGACACGGGCAACGTGCTTCGCATCATATACCCCTTCCCGAGCAAAAGGCCGCCGCATGAACGTGTGCGCGCGCGCGCGCGCGCGCGACCGAGCGAACGTCCTGCATCCCTCTTCTACTCGGCATCATAACCGCCTAACTAATGGCCGACAGATTAGAACTAGAGAAACGCGCCGTGTCCTCTTTCTCTTTCTCTCTCTCTCTCTCTCTCTCTCTCTCTCTCTCTCTCTCTCTCTCTCTCTCTCTCTCTCTCTCTCTCTCTCTCTCTCTCTCTCTCTCTCTCTCTTTCGTGAACGTGAGGAAGAGAAAGAAAGAGGAAGAACGAAACCGCGAGAGTCGGTGCCTTTCATGAAACTGGATCTAGAAGGGGGTCCCGCCCCTCCCACGGAGAGCAACGAGCCGAGATAACAGGGCAATAATTCAAGAACTTCACGATACCGGGACGCGCGCACTCGCAGGACTCCTCACCGTGAAAGATTAGTCACGGATGTGTCTGTCCGCCCTACTCTCTTTCTCTCTCTTTCTTTTTATCTTTTCTTCTTCACTCTCCTACTTCTCCTTTAGGTTCAAGTTGAAAGCATGGATTCGACGCAAGCTGGCGCCGTATTCCAAGCTACCCTCAACCTCTTCTTCCTGGTCCTCCTCTTCGTCTCGTGTCGTCATCCTTATAAGAAGAACGAGCGTGGAAACGATCCGAGTCGAGAAGCACGAGAACGAAAGAACGACTACGACGACTACGAGGAGACACCCGAGACACGAGGAGCGTTTCGCATTGTATACTCGTCTCGCTTGTACTGTTATGATCGTTGGACTTACGTAGAGAGGAATCGCGGCCTTTATGACGGTTGTTAGTCTCTACTGCCGTCTGCCATTCCGCAGTATCTATATGCGCATATTACACATACACACGTTTACATACATATTCGATCCTCTTACCTATATCACCGTGTTTTCCTACATACGCATACCGGACGATCTCTATTTGCAAGGATATCGCGTGAAACGTTGATTTGCGGACGAGAACGAACGAGGTACGCGCGTCTAGTTACGTTTTGCAACTTGGATAACGAAGATTTTTGCAAGAGAACGAGCAAAGGAAGATCGGTGGATCTTAATCGCGTGCTCGAGTTCCTATGTACGTTCTCCCACGTACGAGACGAGCACTCGAGAAGATATTAAACGCGAAATGGTTTCCGAACGTGACGGCAGAACGAAGAACACGCGACATACATCTTTACGTGCGATCTCTCTCTCTCTCTCTCTCTCTCTCTCTCTCTCTCTTTCTCTTTCTCGGTAGAAGATGCAACTTTCAAAAGTGAAAATACTAGTTATTTTACTTTTACCAAGAACCTCTTGAATCGTCGCTGAATGTGATTATAAACTAGAAAGGATGGAAAAAAAATAGAATAGTATGTGACATTCGTATCGATAATCGGTTACGATCTGGCATAAACTCGGGCAAAACACCGGAGAGATGCTAGAGAGAAAGAGACGGAAAAGAGAAAAAAATCATGGACCACCCCGATCTTCATTGACCAGGGGGTAATTAAGTGCTGAAGAGCGATAGGCTGGCGTGACCGACGGTCATAGATCGCGCCTCCATGTTCGTGATCCGGGCTATGGGTCCCCGCTGATATCTTCGATCCGCGAATCGCTACGATCGATTTGTAGTACGTACTATGCCAGGTAATTGCGACGAAAGACCGAGGAGTCTCGTAGATCTCTCGGGGATCTCGATCGAGTCGACTCTCCCTCGAGACGAGACTTCGAAGAAATGTCCGGTTGGATCGATGCGTTCCTTAAACTCCTTCGTGTTTCTCTGGTATTAACGGCTCTCCATGGAGACGTCTATTATTCGTCAAGATGTATTCCTATGACCGAGCTCGTACGAAAGCCCCGCTAACGACTCTTACGCTTGCGATTACGCAGGCGCGGGGCCACTAGAGAAGATAAGTTCCGTCGCGTGCTGAACCGGATAAACTTTCCCTCTGGTCAGTCTTACAGATCGAGATCTCTCAAGAACTGACGTTGATCACCCGCACGCGTAACGACGAAGGGAAGAATAGTTGTAAGAATCGCAACGTCAATGTTTGGATTATCTCGACGATGATACTCCATTATGATAAGAAAAATTCATGCAGAACCGTTCGAGGAAGTCTTCTCAAAATACTGTATCGACTTTCACGAGGTAACATAGGTAAGAACTAACCGTGAAGCTCATTAGTAGCATAAGCTAGCGATATGTTTCTTATGTGCGAACGAGAATAGCCCACAGGATACATCTCGCCGTGCTGTGGCGAGTCACGTTTATGCGTGCGTGCTCGCTCTTATTCTCTTTTCTCTCTCTCTCTCTCTCTCTCTCTCTCTCTCTCTCTCTTGTTCGCTCGCTCGGTCCAAACCGCTTCACCTGAGCCAAGCCGCGTACGCAGAGATCGCGTGTGCGAGAAAACGTGCGTGGGGACGCGCCTATTGCGAGCAGGTTGCTTATTTTTGCAGTTTTATGCACTCAGCCGCGCCTTAGCCGCTTCTCTATCTCTCTATCCCTTTCTCTTTCTCTCTCTCTCTCTCTCTCTCTCTCTCTCGATACTCCGGGCGGTCGTACGCCCTCCAAGAGATACCTGTATTTCTCTTCTTCTCTCTTCGTTATCTCCTCGTTGTACGCGCCTTCTGCCTATCCCCCTGACCCTACCTATTCCCTTCAATTTCTTTCTCTTCCCGTCCATCTGCATTTTCGTTCGATCTACCACGGTGGCCTCCTCGCGTTTATTCATCCGCGAACGCGTAATAGCATATTTTCTCAAGTTTACGTTCGTGATCGCGAGTTCCCATCTCGGTAATCTAATTTCTCGGAAACGCTCTATGATATACTGCAGATTACGGGAAGCCGTCGTGAATTAAAAATCTTTGAGTCCGCTTTTAATTAACATACGTTGTGTTAGCCATCGCGCAGCATCCCCTGTGAAATAAAAGAAGAAAAAAGAGCAATCGTGAAAATGTGTAATGCACGTACGCTCGTTCCTTGACCACATTAACTATGCTTTTCTCTCATTATAAGGCTAATCGGCGCCGAGCTACTCCAAGAAGGAGACCTGGCGCCAGTTTCGCGCGATCCGGACTACGATATCGAGGTGTTACCAATGGCTTCCGATTATAGAAATGCGGGATAGCGAGTACCGTGTCATAAATCTATGACGCGAGAGAGATCGCGGGAAATAGGTGATCCGTTTGGATTCCACAAAAAGAGAGGGAGAGAGTCCTCGATTACGAGTTCATGTCGTTCCCTCGATAGCTATGGCTCTTCCTGTTAAGGACGATATTCCCAATGATATACCCTACTTAGGTACTTATATTTCTGTGATTTTTCCTTTCCCTTCCTCTCTTTTTTCCCTGTTTTTTTTTCTTTTTTTTTTTTTCATTCCAATCACCACCGACAACTAATTACAAGAGGTGTTATTTATCAGCGACGTTAATTATGAGAAATCTTGATAAAGATTTTAACAGGGACGGAGTTATCGAAAATAAAAAGAAAAAAGAAAAGAAAAGAAAAGAAATATGATAGGATTCCTTTCGAAATTTATACCATTAAGATCGTACGAGTTTTTTGATTTATGCGAATAAAATTTAAATATCCAGCACGCAAGGAGAGAAGATAGTACGTTAAAAGTATAGACGACGTGGTCTACTCGAAGGAGCAATCTACGAGATGGCTATCCGCCGAAAGATAGATACCTATAATTAATTGACAACGAAACCAGCCTGGCGCATCATGCGATCCTTCCAGCGTTAAGCATTACGAGGACCGGTAAACTCCGCGGGTCGAACCAGATAGCGAATCCAATCTCGCGTGCAGCCTCTTTTCCTTTCCTCGACGAGTAACGCTCGACGCGGTCGTAAGATCGAATGTACCGTTTAGTACGATACTATCTGATAAATGAAGGTGGACGCCGGAATGAATTAGGCGAGCGCGAAACGTTCGCTCAGATTGTGCAACGCGGCGTTTCTTTCGAAAAATTCAAACGTATCGAATCCGAGAGCATGAGAAAAAAGTTCGATATGCCGCTTACACGTAACACGTACGCCGATATCGAAAGAGAATGAAAAATCTCGCGAGGAGTATCGGTAAAAGCGTAATGTAGAGGTCGCAGGAGGTCCGAGTTATATTGTAACGTAACGGACAGTTCATTAATAACTAACAGTCCCTCTGAAGAAAAAAATATATTCCATTAGAAAATTCCTTTTCCACACGAGCAAGCATAGAAAAATGCATTATCCTCGATCGAATCGCCGTCTCTAAAGACACATCTTTCCGGTCGACGGACTGATAGAAATTACACGAGTGGCTCGAACGACGACGAATACCGTCGAGCAGCCTAGATATAATTGAGATGAAATTCCTGATGATGAATCGTGTTTTTATTCGAGACGGAATTAATACACGGACGGACGAATCCCTCTCGGCGAGGAGAAGAGACGGCGAGATAGTTTGAATTTGGGAGGGCGGGAGAGGCTTTATCTTTATAAATTGTCCTTCCGCGTACGCAGGACGAATGAATTCTATCGCAATGAACTGGC